GTCCGCAAACCCAATCCCTCAGTCCTGTGTGCCCCCTAAGAGTCGTCCCAGAGTCCCCCCACCATGATACCAAGATCAGCTGGAGTGAACTCCCTGATGGATCTGGAGATAGCAGAAAGCCAGAATTCTTTGTCAGCTCAGATTCGCAGCAGATCTCTCCTGGTCCTGCACATCAGGGGGGACCTTGCCATGGGGTATTTATCCACCATAATTATAAATATTCATTAAAATGTCTCCCTTAGCTAATACAGAAACTGTACTTTTCTAGTAAATCATTTGCATTGTTCCACCTCCCCTACAAGTCCTTTTATTGACCTGGAGAGTCATAAAAATGGGGCTTCTGGGGCTCAGTTTCACCAAATATCTTGATACCAAAGGGACTGCTCCTGGAACAATTTCTTAGCACGTGTGCTGTTGGTTCCTGTTACAGAACTTGCCCAAACCCCACTGTAGTTCCCTTTGTCTGTTTCTCCACTGGTTCTAGCCATGATTTTCTTCCTGTGTGCACACCTCTCCTTCCTTTTATCATTTCTGCCAGTTTGTCTTAAGGCTCTGTCCAGCACCTTCAGGGGAAGGGAAAATTTCCATTCTCTTTGTGATTTGTCACTTTGTGACAGAAATGCTCCAGTTCTGTCATCATCCATGGTACCATCCAGGATGTCCTGGTCTTTTCTGTCTTGAGGAGCCCAGAACGGGAAAGAGCACTGGGCAGAGCTGGACATGGCACTAGGCAGAACTGGACATGGCACTGGGCTGAACCGGACACAGCCCCAAGGCAAGCTGGACATGTACTGGGCAGAGGTTGACACTGACCATAGTAGAAATGGAAATGACTCTGAACAGAGTTGAGCACAGCACTCCTGATGTGCCTCACTGGACAGGGAGAGGGGCCCTAACACTCCCTGACTTTCTGGGCTTGCTCCTCTGAGTGCCCCCCAGATCCCTCCTGGCCCCAGGCCACATGGCCAGCTCCATTGGTCACCTGGCAGCACCCCCAGGTCATTCCCCAGAGCTGCTCCAGCAGGTCCCCACCAGCCAGGCAGGGCACTGCTGCTAAATTGAGCTAAAACCAGTCCAAATCACCAACCCTAAATTGACAATGGAGGGTAAAGCAACAGAGCTGGGCCTGGCCATCCATCACCTGACCCTGGCAATGCCCAGTCCCCTCTCAGACAGAAATTCCTCTCCCCTATTCATACTTGGAATGAAATATGTGTGAGGTTCCTCCTTCGGGAAGGGCATGGTCCCCAACAGTCCTCCTCAAAGCTGAGAGAAAGAGACGTTCCCACAAGTGTTTGTATGGGGAGTGACATTGAACCCTGCTTAGGAATTGTCATATTTGGCTCTCTCTCTCAGAATTACTTCATGGAATCCTTTTGGTAGAATTATTTAATTGAGTTGTTTCAATTGAATCATTTAATGGATTTGATTTGACAGAAAAATTTAATAGAATGTGAATTGACCAAACAAGACCTCTGGCCACACCGTGTCTGGAGCTAGACATCATGCACACCCCAGAACATGGGGTGACACTGCCTGTTCTGAGCATGCCTCAGTATCACCAAGGCCTTGGTCAGAAGGAAATGCAGCGTTTGGAAGTGGAAGTTGTTCCAGAATTCCTGGCAGGAGCGCCAGGCTGCACACACAGCTCACAGCTGCATTGTATTCCTTGCCAATATCCTTTTTTGCGTAGGCCAGGAGAGCAACAGCTTGTGCTGGAGTTGCCAGAGGGGACAAAGGGGACACACGAGAGCCCTGATTTGCCACTCAGCCTCGGCCTTCACCCAGGTCTGGAAGGAAGGAAGAAAGGATTCACCTGGGACTCAGAGTGGCTGAGGGCCAGCAGCCTCAGCAGCTCTGGTACTGGTCTTCAGGGGAGTCCGGGGCTGTGTCCAGGGCCACCACCTTGATGGCTGCAGTGGTCACAGTCATTGTCAGCTGTGCCAGGGTATGAGCCAGGAGAACCATGGAATGGAGCTTACTGGGAACAGTGTGGGACACTGGGGGACAAAGAGGAGCACACACTGAGGGGACACTGAGGACACATGAGGGTACATAGGAAGGGTTCCTCTGTGAGGGGCTCAGAATGGCCCCGAGCTCCAACCACAGGAACTTT